GAACACAAACAGTTCAAAAACATGGCATTTACAGGATCTAACTCGTACTAAGGTGCCTCTCTAAGTCCGTTGAGAACAATCTGGACGAGCAAACGGTCGTGTTTATCTTTGCCGTGAATCCAGATAAATACAAGAAGGAATCTAGCCGAATTTTATAATGTTTCCTTCGCCAGGAGTTTAGTTTGGTCACGAAACTCATGGCCTTATGCTCTTGTAATCGTTTACCAAAAACAGCCGCCGCCAACTCGATAGCCGCTTCATTATATGTCCACATACTTTGAGCACAAGAAAAATCCAAGAGCCAGCAACCTCTAAAATAACTCAATAGAAAGGTTCTGTGAACTATCGGGAAGATTCCATCAAAGATTCCATCACTCATTGTGGAGTAGCCGTCATTAACTCTGCCATTACAACGGCCGCTGATAAGAGGACACAGTAAATCCACGTAAAAACATTCCACAGGCAAACAATTTCAAAATAACGCCAAAAAATTATTCTGTAATCACCATAGAACGATTCTTACTACAAAACTTCGCTACCTATCGAACGATGGCTGAGATTTAGAGCCTTCCAAAAATCTCCGACAGAACTTGAAAAAGACGGGCCGACTTTTTCAAGTTTGTTTTCATTGGCTCGCGCATGCGTGTGGGGTGACATAGCCCCTCTAAAAATCAATGAACGGTTAAACTCTTTCTCGGGTGAGTCAAAGCACCTTTTGAGAATAAAAAAATGGTTCTTTTTCTTTATGGTTCTACATAGTTTTCCGGTGAGGTTTGATTTTATGAGTTGACATACAGTATGTGGTCCTTGGTCCGGCTAAAAAGAGGTAAATGAGTATTTAATATCTCAGAAGAAGAGTAGTGAGCTGAAATTTGTCTCGTAAGTGGCCGTAACATTTCACTAACTTGTGACAAACCGAGAGCTTCTGAGCTTTTCCGAAAATCCTGCACCATAGAAACTGACCGCTGCGTTTGAAGGCCCCTGGTCCGGCCAGTGGTTCCTTGGTCCGGCCACTTCGTAAGCCGGCATCAAAAGTGCGCAAAAAGAAACTTTCCAAGCACCATCCGTTCTAAATTCCTGTATATTTTCTATAGGCACCATTTAAACTTCGGAACCAAAATGACATTCACTGTTTAAAGAGCTAAAGTTTGGTCTGTTGAAGAAATTATTCTCGCTTCTGTGTGAATCAATGTGTGTCGTGCAGTTACGATGCGACTTCCGCGACTGCGGAAATCGCCACCATTTTAAAGCTAATTTATACAACAGGATAAATTGGAGTTAATGTGGTAACCATAAACCCGCCCTTACCAGTAGTGGAATCAGCTCACTTCCTTTCAGGTGTCACTTCCTGCATGCGACCCCTGTCACACTAATTGTTTTGCTCAGCCAATTAGATGCCAGCTATCACATGTACAGTTGATGCTTATATTTTCGTGCCAAGCTCAGCAAAATAGCACTTCATATTCTTCTCTTCGTGGAACAAAATGTTTGTTACTTATAGCCTGGACTTTTTCTTCATGAATTGGAATTTTTGCTAAGCTGTAATGACGAGATCACCGTTTAGGAAGGGCTACCTTGATCTTCCAACTGCATACAAGCCTTAGGCGTTCGAGTTTTTCTGGACAGACTTTCCACAAAGAGATGTTGCACCGCCGCTCTTGGTCAAACTCCGTCCTTGGAACATTGATCTACAATCGTGCAACCCTCCTCTCGAATGTCGCTGCTTTCTCCTCGTCTTGACCTTTCGATATCCTCTCGCATGTACCGTCACTTTAGCCGTTTCGACTCTCTCGGCTGGCACTTCACAGTCAAGGTTCCTCCGCAGCAAATCATCTTAGCCCAGTGTGTCTTGCTTTGGGATCAGAGTTGCTCTCTCATGATTCAGGTGCGGTATTTTTCTGGTTTATCGATAGTTAACTTAATATTCTTATTATATTGTGCCTCGAACGACATCTGTTTTTGCAATATTGTGTGCATGTGACTGTACTGAGCGCTTTGAGACATGGAAAGTTATTTTTGAGTTCACTTACTGTATTATGAAGAAGGACTTGGCGCCGCGGCCTCTAAAATTCACTTTATTCAAGTCCCTGGGATTGAAGTATGCATGTCCGTGCTTTTATTATGCTCTTACTATGGAGTAAGAGAGAATACGCACTGTTAAAATCAAATCTGTGACGACTGGGTCTTCGAGGTTTTTTCAAATAATAGATTGAATTTCAGTTTTGATTCTTTTTTCACATCTAACATATTATGAGTTGAGAATGATACATGAC